GCAAATTAGACTGAAGGATTGAGAACTAGTCTAGTGAGGGCAAGAGGCCTCTGCTTTCATTCTTATAACTTTTTTTCTTTTTATAAAAGTGATCCATGGACACTTTCTCAAAATGTTAAACATAGTTACCATATGACCCAGCAATTCCACCCCTATATTTAAGAGAAGTGAAAACATATGTCCATATAAAGACCTATGTACATTAATGTTGATGGCAGCTTTATTTGTAATGTCCAAAAAAGTAGAAACAATGTAAATGTTCATCAAATGATGGATAAACTATGGTATATCTGTATAATGGAATATTATTTGGCAATAAAAAGGAGTAAAGATATATGCTACACGTATGAACCCTGAACAAATGCTAAAGTGAAAGAAGCCAGTTGCAAAAGACCACATATTATATGAATCCATTTATATGAAATATCCAGATTAGGCAAGTGCATAGAGACAACAAGTAGACTTGTGGTTGCCTAGGGGTGGGTGGGGGAAGAGGGAGTGACTGCTAATAGGTACAGGGTATTGGTGTGGGGGTGATGAAAGTGGTCTAAACTTAGATTGTGGTGATGGTTGTACAACTCTGAATATATTATAAACCACTGAATTGTTGGCTTTAAATAGGTGCATTTTAAGATACTTCAATTATATATCAATAAAGATGTTGAAAAAAGTGACACGTGGTCATTAAAGATAATTTAGAAAACACAGTAAAGAAAAGAAAGCAAAATAAACCCCAGCTTTCAGCATCACTGCAAGATAGCTGCATACCATCTTAGGATAATCCTTCCTGTGTATATTGTTTATATTTGCATATTTTTTACAAAAATGATATCATACTCTTCATACTGTTATACATTTGGGTATGTAACTGTATCCTGAAAATGTTCTTGTTATTAGGCTTTTACTTCATTATTTTTAATGGCCATAGAGTACTTCAATCTATGAACAATTTTATTTTAATTTATTTAATTAGTTTTCCATTGGTGGGTTTTTGCTGACTTCAATTTTCTTGCTCTTATAAACCATTAATATTCTTTAGCAATATCACTGTAATTCATGTCAGTTTTGATTCAAGGTCCTTACGTTTTTTAGAAAAATAAACTTTCTATTTTAGAGTAGTTTTAGGTTCACACCAAAACTAAACTGAAACCACAGAGTTCCCATACACTATGTAGCCTTTCCAATTGGCTTCGTTCACTTAGTAATATGGATTTAAGGCTCCTTCAATCTCTTGAGAGCTCATTTCTTTTTAGTGCTGGATAATATTTCATTGTATGGTTCTACTGCAGTTTCTCTATCAGTTACTGAAGGGCATCTTGGTTGCTTCCAAGTTTTAGCAATTATGAATAAAGCTGCTGTAAACAGCCATGTGTAGGTTACTGTGTGGACAAAAGTTTTCAGCTTATTTGGGTAAATAACGAGGAGTATGATTGCTGGATCATATTGTAGAATATGTCTAGTTTTGTAAGAAACTGCCAAACTGTCTTCTGTAGTGGCTGTACCATTTTGCGTCCCCATGACAGTGAATGCGAGTTGCTATTGTTCCACATCCTCGCCGGCATTAGGTATTGTCAGTATTTTGGATCTTGGCCATTCTAATGTGGCATCTCATTGTCTTATTTGCATTTCCCTAAAGACGTATGATGTTGATCATCTTTTTATATGCTTATTATTTGCTATCTGTGTATCTTCTTTGGTGAGGTATTTGTTCAGATCTTTTGCCCATTTTTAAATTGGGTTGTTTTCTTATTGTTTAGTCTATGAATTCTTTGTATATTTTGGATAAAAGTCCTTTATCAGATACGGCTTTTGCAGATATTTCTCTTAGTCTGTGACTTGTCTTCTCATTCTCCTGAGGCCTTTACTTTTTGAAACCAGTGAATTTTTATCCCATGAAAACAAATTTTACCTTTGATTTACCTTGAAAATTCTTGATGATGTTCAGAAGCCGGTTTGGACAAGAAGGTGAGGGGTAGGGAGTAGCACAAAAGCATTATTCTATTTAGAATCTATTTGGGCCACAGGATTCTGCAGAGTTACCTTCCTGTATAAAGACAAAGTCACTTTGAAAGAAGCAGATACACTCGTCTCCATTAAATGTTTGTTGGATGTTTTGTTTTTCAGTCTCCATCAGTTGGCTTTTGCTGTGTAACTAACCATTCCAAACTTAGTGGCTTCAAATAACCATGTGTTAGCTCATGATTCTTTAGGTCATCTGATCAATTCTTCAGCCATAGGGCAACCCTGCTGATCTCTGCTAGGCTCTCTCATATGTCAGCTGATGGCTGAATGATCTAGAGTGGCCTGACTCATATGTCTGGCAGTTGGCTAGAACACAGCCTGGTGTATCTTAACATTCAGTAAGCTAACCTGAACCTCTTCACAGGATGGCAGCCACAGGATTCCCAAGAGCAGCAAGTGGGCAAGCCCCAAAGTGCCAGCTTAGTTCATGCCGCAGTTTGCATCACATTTGTTAATGTACTATTGGCCAAAGAGAGTCACAAAACCAGCTCAGAGTCAAGAGATGGAGAAACAGACACTACCTCCTGATAGGACCCTCCATAACACACGGCAATGGAACAGAAACAGGGAAGAAACAAGTTTATGTGTGGCCAGGTAAATAATGGCCTTGTGCTTGATGGCCAGTACATGACTGTATCTAATTTTCATACATGAATATACTTCCAACTTCCACATACAAAATGCCCATAAAATGGTAACACAGCATCCTGGCAAATCAGTTCACATTTTTGGTGGCAAACTCATGTCTCATTTTAGGTATGATTTACAGCAATTTTGATAAGACTTTGAGGATACAAGACAATGGTGGCAGAACCTACCCCAAAAATGCTAGCACAGGTGCATTTATTCACTCACTCAACAACTAATTATCAAACAAATACTTCCTTAAGTGCCTGGGATTCATCAGGAAGAAGATAAACTCCTTGCCTTTGTGGAATTTGTGTTCTACTGCAGGGGCAGAAGAACAAGGAAGTGCCAATTCGTGATCAATATGCGGAAATGGTAGGACAGGGAACAGAGTGACAGGGGGGTTTTCTAGAGGACCCCAAATAGGGTTGTCCAGTCTCTCTGAGACCATTTTCATTTTCTTGACTTTGGTTTTTTCATCATTGGTTTGTCCCATGGTAGGTGTCAGTGCAGATGCTGATGGGGACCCGGCAGTGCATCTGTTATGGCTGTGGTGGATTTATCTCTGGTAGAGCAGGGAGCCAGACAGAGTGGGAGGCAGATTGCAGGACTTGTGGCATTGGACTAATGAACAGCCAGAGGTCTGATCTGTCCTGAAGGCAGGATATTCCAGCTGGAGGTTTCTGGCACCTCAGAAGCCCTATCAGAGATGGGTCCTCAGAGGGCATGCTGTGGGATTAATGCGATGCAGTTTGGTTTAAATAAGAGCAAAGCATAAGGAGGGAGGGCTGAGCAAGAATTGTGGTAGCCATAGCAACATGATACTGACAGTTGAGTCACCAGTCACCACAAGGAGAGTACTGGCCAACTGCGATTGCCCCAGCACGGCTTGAGAACGTGGCACCTTTGAAGTTACCAGGCAGAGAAAGTCAGGGAGAGAGAAATTCATCGTGTTGAGCTTTTCCCAGCATCCCATGTCTTACCAATCCCTTCCTTAGTGAGTCAAGGCTGTGACAGCCCAGCGCATGGTGTGTTGTGTGGCTCTGTTCATTGTTAGCTAGGACCGTGAAATCACCTTTAATCTCCATTTCCCCCTCCCTTAAGGTTTTGAACCAACCTTTATTCAGAGACCTCTTCTGGGTTTGCATTTTATGATTATCAGTAAGCTGTTGGGAATCCACTGCTGATAGGTGGAGGGGACAAAGTTGACACTTTTGGGTTCCAGAATTCCTGCAGACTGGCTCTCTCCCCAGGTCCCCAACTCCAAAATAAACATCTTTTAATTATACACTTCAGAAAAGCTTTTTTTTCCAATCCCCTTTCTTTTGTCTGGGTAAGAGGTAAGGTGAAAAATCAGAAAGGCTAAAGTTATGATGTAGGATCCCTCATTCACCTCTAATGGTCTAAAGAGAGTAATAAAGTGGCAAGTCCCATTTACCCCCAGAGAGCCTAGTTTTCTGTCTCATCAAAGCTAGTGGGAGGGACTTGGCAAGTCTCTGGATGAAGAAAATGTTTCTTTTTTAATTGTTATCAAACAAAGCTGTTTCTAAGTTGGCCTGGGAGGACCCCCTCACCCTGAAGCAATCAACGTGTGTTTAAGATGTCAGCTTCTGGAGGACAGGAGCCCTGTGCTGTTGCGTACGCGGTTCTGATGAGCAGCTGACAGGATGTGACGGCTTTGTGTTGCTTAACCACAGTCAGAACTGCAGTGCCTGTCCCTGCTATGGGTCAGCGTTGGCCCCAGCTGTCGCCCCTTAGCCTCCGCACGTCTGGCCTCATTACCTTCCCTGTGATCGGGAGCCCTGCATGGTTGCATGCCTTGCCTGGTTCTCATTCTGCTCACGCAGGTGTGTGTGGGCAGATACCCCTGATAAAAAGGATGCATGCCATCTCCCGCCCTTCCATCCAGTAGCCCCTTTCTTCTTTCTGCCTTCCAAGTAACTGACATAAGAGAAACCACATGTACCAGGACCAGATCACCCAGCATGTCCCAGAATCCAGGAGAGTGTTATCTTGCACATGCAGGTTTGGTTTTCTTGCCAACTTGGCATTGTGCTTTAGGAGAAGCCAGGGCAACGTCTCAAGCTAGGACGATCTACCCAGTGTGGGTTTTTATCTCTCTCTTCCAGGGCGAGCTGGTGGCACTGCTGGACCTCGCAGTAGGTTATCATAAATTAGACTTCAGGGCTCCAGAGGTAATGCAAGGCCACAGTGTCTGGCCTGGAGAAAATCGGGGCTAGGTGTGCCAGCCTTGAGTGTGGTGACAAATTAGCAACACTCCCCTTCAGCAGTAACTATATCATTGTATTTTCCTCAAATCAAATGTGGCGATTTTGTTTTTTTTTGAGATGGAGTCTTGCTCTGTCACCAGGCTGGAGTGCAGCGGCGCGATCTGGGCTCACTGCAACCTCTGCCTTCTGGGTTCAAGCGATTCTCCTGCCTCAGCCTCCCGAGTAGCTAGGACTACAGGTGTCTGCCACCATGCCTGGCTAATTTTTGTATTTTTAGTAGAGACGGGGTTTCACCACATTGGCCAGGATGGTCTCGATCTCCTGACCTCATGATTTGCCCACCTCTGCCTCCCAAAGTGCAGAGATTACAGGCGTGAGCCACTGAGCCCAGCCATAAATCAAATGAGGTGACTTTCATTACAATTTTCCTCCTACAGGTTGCCTGGTATGTGGTTCTTCTTAGAATAAGAGTAATAAACCAGTTAGCTTCTGCTGTGTAATAAAGCTCCCCAAAGCTTAGTGAGTTAAAATCATAACCCGCACAGGTCAGCTGGGTGACTTTTCCTTCAACTTTTAGGAAATCGACTAATCTCAGCACGTGCCTGCAGGCGCTGATGGGTGGACCGCAGCTAGCAGCTCCAAGATGGCATCTCTCACGTCTGCTGCTTAGCAGGGCCACAGGTCTCTCATTATCCAAAGGCTAGCCTGGGGCTGTCCTCATGGCATAGGCAGGGTTCCTGGAGAGTGAGCAGAAACAGCAAGGCCCCTTGAGGCCTAGGTTCAGGATGACTGTAATGTCACATCTGCCATATCCTGTTTGTCACAGCAAGTTCCAAGACCAGCCAAGATTCAAGGGGTGACCAGAGGGAGTCTCCCTCTTATGGGAGGAGCTGCCGAGCTGTGTTGATAGTGGCCTGGACACAGGGAGGTCATAATAGACACCATTCTTCCAAACAGTATGTTTCAGGTAATAATTATTTTTATTTCGTTGAGCTCCTACAAGGCTACCGAGTTTGCTGCCTTTCTTACCTGGTAGAGAAAATCAGGCAAAGATGTGAATTCACCAGCACTGGATGGGTAAAGAGTCTCGGAACTGAAGCTTTTTATGCATTACATGTATTTTCCTCTGCCCCCTTTTCTGCATCTAAGAACTAAGCTTTTTCTTAAAAAAAAAAAAAATTTTCTCTTTGAACATTATGAAAGCCTAAGTTATCTAAAATGAGAGGACTGCTCTCTTAGACTCTATTATGTTGTCCTAATTACATATCAGCAAAATGTTTTTCTGGGGCATTGTGTGTAAAACAAAGGAGAAAACAACATCTCTAGCTGGCCAGCGTGCCTGTCCCTCCCTCCCGTGGAGGCCTGCGAGGCTGAGGGTGGGGAAGGCCGGCTGTGCTGGCTGCCGAGGGCTTTGCTCTTTCTTCACAGAGCAGCAGGTCGCCCCTTCTCTTCTCCCTCCCTCCACCTCACCTCTGTGGGCTCCATTGGATGGGAACCATGTGCTTCTTCTCCCCACCCTAGACTGGGATCTCCTGCGGCAGAAAAGGCTTCCCAAGTGGCCAAGACAGAGTCAAGCTGACTGAATGTGAGATTCATGAATGAACAGTGGTACCAGGCATAGCCCTGCCCTTTAGCATCCTGAGAGCCATGTGTAGTTTTCTGCAATGCTGCGCGCCGTGTTCCAGCATCTGCTTTCCACTTGCTAGGTAGAGGTGAAGTGGCCCTTCTTTCCGGCTTGGCATTCCCCTCCGCCCTGCCTCTGGATCTCCACTTTCCACAGCTGTATGAGAGCAGGACCCCTACCCCTCCGTGAGGGCCACTGTGGCCAGCATGTGCCGAGCAGGGGCCAGGCAGCCCTGAGAACGCACCAGCATGCTCTGCCTCCTCTGCACTAGCAGCTGCCACCTGTCCTTGCCATCGGCCACTTCCCTCCTGCGGAGTACTGCCTGTGGCCTCCTGAGACCTCACCATCCATCCAGAGACAGTTTACAGGCTTCTTGTGACTTGCCCTCTTGAGATATTTGATGGTGCGATCAAACTCCCTATTTTTTTTTCCCCCTTCAACTTTTAAGTTCCAGGGTGCAAGTGCAGGATATGCAGGCTTGTCCGTGTGCCATGGTGGGCTGCTGCTCAGATCAGGCCATCACCTAGGTATGAAGCCCAGCATCCATGAGCTGTTCTTCCTGGTGTTCTCCCTCCTCCTGCACCTCCGACAGGTCCCAGTGTGTGTTGTCGCCGCCATGTGTCCATGTGTTTTCACATGTGTCTGCATCGTTCAGCTCTCCCACTTACAAGTGAGAACATGTGGTGTTTGATTTTCTGTTCCTGCGTTAGTTTGCTGAGGATAACAGCTTCCAGCTCCATCCATGTCCCCACAAAGGACATGATTCGTTTCTTTTTATGGCTGCATAGTATTATGGACTGGATAAAGAAAATGTGGTACAAACTCCCTTCTTAAGCCTGTTTCCCACGCTGGATTGTCCAAGGGCTGATTCCTTCCCACTCAGCCCATTTTCATTCACCTTCTGCTCACCCCCTCACAAGGAAATCCAGCCCTCAGCCAGCCTCAACCCTCCAGGAGTTTTCACCCACCCTGAGTCTGGCAACACCTCCAAGTGTTTATCCCCATCTCAGCCCTTTCCTGGCCCTGAGCTATGGATTAGTTTCCTGTTGCTACTGTAACAAATCACAGATTTAGTGACTTTTAAAACAACGCAAGTTTATGGTCTTATATTTGTTGAGTCAGAAGTCTGAAATGAGTATTAAGGGGCTAAAATCAAGGTGTTGACAGGGCCACATTCTTTGTGGAGACTTTTAGGAGAGAATCTGTTACCTATCATTGCCAGCTTCTGGAAGCTGCCCATGTTCCTTGGCTCGTGGCCCCTTCCCTGGATCAGTCCAGCCTCTGCTGCTGCCATCACCTCTCTTCCTCTGACTCTGGCCTTCCTGCCTGTCCTTATAAACGCCCCTGTGATTACACTGGGCACACCTGGATAATCCTGGCTAAACTCTCCATCTCAGTATCCTTAGCTTAATCACATCTGCCACATCCCTTTTACCATGTGAAGGGAACATTTTCACAGGCTCCTGGGATTAGGATGTAGACATCGTTGGGGCCATTATTCTGTCTACCACAGGCTGTTTCATTTAGCTGCCGCCTGGACATTTCTATAGGTTCCTCAAACTCAGTGTGTCTAGAATAGAATTCATTCCCTCTCATTGTCCCTCCTCATCCTGTATGCCCTGGCTCAACAGCTGAGCAGCCATTGCCCAGTTCTCTGAGCTGTTGTCTGGGTGAAACATAATGTTAAATACAAATCCAGCATTGATGGGCACTTGAGTAGTTTCCAGTGTCCTGCTACTGCAGACAGCTCTCCAGTGAATAACTCAGTGCATTTCTCATTTTTTAATATGTAGGATAAATTCCCAGAAGTGAGATTGTTGGGTCAAAGGGTAAATGTGTTTGTAATTTTGAAAGATACTGTCAAATTGTTCTCCAGGAGGGCTGAATCAATGAGCCCTTCCACTAGCAATGTACAAGAACGCATGCTTCCCGACAGCCTTGGCAACAAAGCAGGTTGCCTAACTTGTGGGTTTTTTTACCAGTTCAATAGGTGAAAAAATAGTATCTCAGGATAGTTTTAATTTGCATTTCTCTCATGAGATTCTGCATTTCTCTCATGCGCTTAATGGATGTTTGAATTTTCTGTGATCTCTCTTCATATCTTTGGCCCTTTTAAATTTTGGACTATTGGATTTTTTCAATTTTTACAAGCCCTTTTTTTCTCTGTAATATGAGCTGCAAACATTTTTCCATTTTGCCATTTGTCTTTTATATCATATGAGTTTTTATATAACCAAATTTGTCACTTTTATTTTTTGGTTTCTGGATTCTAAGTTATTTAGAAAGGCCTTCCAGTGTTCCCTTTAAACATTAAAATAATAACATTTTATTATATGAGGGGGATTGGACACAGGCATCTATTTCTTTTCTGAAAAATCTCCGTGAAATGAAACTAAAGGAATGATATAATTAGATAGATACAGGCAATTCTCATATTCTCGGATTCTGTATTTGCAAATTCATCTGCTTACTAAAATTTATTGTAACCCCAAAATCAATACAAATGGCATTTTGTGGCCATTTGCAAACATGTGCAGAACAGCAAAAATTTTGAATTGCCTAATGTGCACATTTCTAGCTAAGGTCAAACAAGGTGATATTGTGCCTGGTTTCAATGTTCATACTAAAAGCAAGTGTCCTTTTTTTGGTAGACATAGGGCCACATTTTTCATGTTTTTGTGCTTTTTTTGGTGATTTAGCTGTTAAAAATAGCCCCTATGCATAGTTGAATGAAGTACTGTTGTCTAGTGTTCCTAAGTGCAGGAATGCTATGATGTGCTTTACAAAGCAAATACCAGTGGTAGGTAAAGTTTGCTCAGGCATGAGTTATAGTGCTGTTGGCTGCAAGTTCAGTGTTCATGAATCAACACTATCTATTAAACAAGGTTACATATTGATCAGTTTGCAAAAATGTTGCGACCAGAGGCTTCCAAGACCCTAACCCTATATTTCTCTTATGAGCAATGGTTCAATATTCACTAATGCACTGTTCACAATGACTTTATAGAATATAGCTACTAAGAATAATGAGGTTCAATTTTAGGTAGGTAGGTAGGTAGGTAGGTAGGTAGATAAATCGATGCCCACAAGAACAAAAATATTAGAAGAAGATAAAGTAGAAGATGAGTGATTTCAACAAATTTTTAGAAGCTAGAAAGTAGATAGAGGAATCTAACTAATTTAGCAAAATGGAGGAAGCTACAACCTGGACAAGAAGGGTGCCATTTGTCTCTTCCAGAACCCAAGAAAAGCTCTGGTTTTCAAAGCATAAATCATCATGTGATGGGAGGTTGGGGGATGGGAGGTTGGGGGATGTGAACTGCAGAGCTGAAAACCAGGGCATTGGTTTAAAGTCCTAACATGATGTGGTAGGATCCCTAGTTCCCCATCTCTGTTACATGCAACCTAGGAACTGTAGAGATAATGTAGGTATCAGAAGAAACCACTTAAAGAAATAAAATAAATGCATCCATGAAGCAAAAACAAGATGCTGTTAAAAAAAAAAAAAAAAAAAGCAATCAAAAGATAAGAAAGAGCTTTTGGGTCTTAAAAATAGGGCAGCAGAAAATTTTAAAAATATAATATTTTGAAAGACAAAATGAAGGCAGTCTTTCAGAAAGCAAAATGAAAAGAGTAAGAAAATTGTGGGGGAAGGAATAAAATTAAAACATCTATCACACATTTTGATTAATACCAGGTCCAGAAAAAAAGAAGACAGAAAATGGAGGGGAGAAGAGTTATCAAAAGGGGGGAAAAAACACTTTTCAGAACCGAAGGACAAGAATCTTCAGATTGCAAGGCCATCAGGTGAACAATCCTTTGGGTAAAAACCCACACCAAAGCACGTTATCATGAAATTCTGGAACTTCTAGAGGAGAAAAAAAATCCTAAAAACTTTCAAAGCAACACAACAGGTTACAGTTAGAGTATTAGTAATCAGAATAGATTATCTCAATAGCATTGCTGACATCTAGAAGCTACCAGAGGTACTTTCAAAATTTTGACAGATAAATCAATTTCAGCCCAGACTTCTGTACCTAAACTGTTAAAGACAAAGGCATTTTTAGAAATGCACAGATTCAGATGACTTCTAGGGCATTGTTGCCTAGAGAG